TATTCCAAATTATACTAAAATAAGATATTTTATGTATAGAAACCATCAATTGAATATAAAAGCACAAAAACTGCCAATCTGGGACATATATCTATAATGGAATACACTCTGCAGTGGTCGCACCACATGATATTTGGTCGCACCATATGATATTTTCAAATTCAGTCAAAATTTACAAGCACCGAATTGGCCACCTTAACAAAACAAGCTAGCTTCCCACAAAAAGGTCACTATGAAATTTATAATGAAAATAAATACTCGCAGAAATAACTTAATATTCATTGTTTTTTGAGGTCATACCACATGATATCCAAATGTGGTAACTACATAACAGTCGTTAAAAAGTTTTTTTTGGTATATGATGCAAAGTCCTATCTTTGAATGGATTTCAACATAAAAGTCCCAAAATGGTAGTTTCTTGATGGTCGCACAACATGATCTTTCATAAAATGGAAATCATCGGACAAAGTTTGTTTGTATATTATGATGGAAATATAAATACAAATGCTTTGCAATTTTACACAGGATTACAAAACACTTTTGCCAAATAGTGAAAAAAAAATCATGCCAAATAGTGCATAAAATTAATTTGAATAAATTTTGCGTAATTTCAAAGATGTTTACAAAAAAAGTTATGGCCGGACGGTCGCACCACATGATATTTTGACACTTTGAATAACAGAAAAATTACAAATAGCTAATGTTTTTTGAAAAGTTAAATTGAGTTTAAATTGAGAGGTCCTTCATATATATGGCATCTTTTTTATGCATTTATGCAATTTTTAACTGAAAAAAATGCAATTGGACAGAAAATGTAGGCGTCACTTCATTGACCCATATATATAATTATATATATATATACATTTTCAGATATTAATATTAATATGTATTGTTGCATATACATGAAAATAATATACAATATACCATTTGAATGTTGGGGGTTGGTAAGATTTTTTTATGTCTTTGAAAGCATTTATTTGATCAGAAATACAGTATTATATTATCAATGTTGAAAATAGTTCAATATTAATTTTTTTGTGGAAAACTTTTTTTAGCAATTCATTTGAAATAAAAATCTTTTGTAAGATTAGAAATGTTTTTTATTGTCAATTTTAATCAATTGAATGAATTAAAATTTGTTCTAAAATATCAAATAAACAAAAAGAGTAAAGAAAAAACTAAATAAAATCTTTCATTATTTAAAAAAAAAACAGAGATTTAGTTAAGGTCAATACCTAAAACATGAAACAAATCTGCCATTTTAATACATTTGATTCATAAACCACATTAAAGACACATTCTCTGACCATTTTGCTTCACAGGTAAATTTAATTTGTTTTAAGGAGGCTTAGATGAGGGCACTGGAAAGCAAGACAAATATGGCATTTATCATGCATTTAGCAAAGATTTTATATTAATGGATGATTTGTCTGCATTGATTTCTGATTCAAAGGTGAGCTTGTGATTGTTTGTTATTTGTTCAGAGTTGCAGCTGTCTGTTCCCACCCCCCCAGCATCAGCCATATCTGACTGATTTTAATGCTTCCTTTCTGCCACATGGTCTGTCGTCACGACGACACAGCGTGACTGAAAAGCAGAAAACCCATTTGCTCCAACTGCTTTAATCAAACACACTCATTCATTATTCAGAGCGCGTGAGAGGGTGCAGGGGGCAAGCCAGAGTGTGTGTGTGTGTGTGTGTGTGTGTGTGGACTATTGGAGTTTGAGTCAGTGCACATTCAAATAATACAAGCAAAACAAGATTTTTTGAACATATAAATATGTCAATCCGATTGCTAAACTATAGATGACAAATAGTTATCATACGAAAAAAAACTTTCATAAAAATAGGTCTCAGCTGGAGGCCCGAAGAAAAGCCAAAAAGCACACAAACACACACACAAACAAGTGAAGAAAATCCCTAAGACTTTAGAAACTCACAGAGAGAGGTGAGAGAATGAGAACGAAAGAATGAATTGGTTTCCTAGGTGGAAACTGGGAAAGTAATCTGGACGCAGGTCAGTCGGGACGGATCTAACTGCCAGCTCTCCATGGGCGCAGAAGAACAAACTAAACAGCGCAACACACACACACACACACACTTGTGATTCTCTTTGCTTTATACACACAGCACAATTCAAAGGGACAGAGGCAATCAAATTCATCCAGTCAGAAGCCATTAAATCAGAAAATATACTGTACTGAACAAGACAAGCCACATGCAGACACAGAGAGAGAACATTGACTGATATAATAACCTGTTTTAATGGCTCTAATCCAAAACCTAGTGAGCAGCCTACGCAAACAGGATTTTAAGGTATCAGAGGTGCACTCTTGACGCGTCGGCTATTTATAAAGGTAGGCAGCATTTTGATTATGCTGCCTTCTAAAACCTTTGGCCAAATTCTATGGCAGCATTGCATGTAGACTTTATGGAGAATGCAGTCCATAAATGCACTGCGACAACTTGTGAAAAACAACGTTATAAACAAACAAAATACAACTTACTCTAGTGCACAAAAGTACCGTTGGGCAGTGTGTATGGAACCAAACTGAACAACTAGTTGTTAATGACATATTTAAGTGCACATCAGAGACGTGTCTCTCTTCTCTATCCCAGGGAAATCCCAGTATCTCCCAGTATGTCTTGACTTATTTGTGTTGCCTGACCATGAAAAAAAAAACATGATAAACTAAAATCCAAATGCTTTATCTTGGAAAAAAGCCACATACCAAAATATCACAACCTGTATCTGCCTACTTTATTAACTCCAATAAACTGGATTGATTCATGAGCCAAAACCAAACAACAAGCCCAAACACGTATATTTAATAAGCGTGCTTATAATAAGTGGACATGGCAACACTTCAAGAGTGTGCTTTGACTTTGAATATGAAATGTATTTGTGCATTTTTTAAAGTATTAAAAAGTATTAAATTATGTACTAAATTATGAGCAGTTTTTAAAATAAGTACAAATTAATAATACATTTAAAAAACTGAAATATAGCGCCAAAACATACAAAAAATAATAAAGTATTAAAGGGGCAGTGAGGGAGTTTTCACATCAGAATTTTCTTTTTCAAACTTCAGAATTGATTCTGAGCTTAAGAGTTTTTTTCACATATGTGCGATGTGCAGTCGAATTTTGTTTGTGTGTTTATAGCATAGTTGAAAAGACAATAGCATTGGATTGGTGAATCTATTTTTTCAAAAGTGAAATCACTGAAATCAGCAGTGAAGAGCACTATGACACAAAAAGTTACTGCCATTTGTAAACCACTCCAAATATGTTTGGGATTTGGAACATAATGTGCACATTTGTACATTTGTAAAATCATCAGTGTTAGATTTAGACAGAGCGAGTGACTGAGGATGTAGAAACTTGTGTAGGATGTTCTGTCAGGTCACCACTTGAGCTGCACATGATATAAATGGGAAAGACTGCCCTAAAGGCCTAGATGTCCTTTAATATTAACAGCAGTTTTGCAAACTTACTCAAATAAAGTGACTCCTTTACAGAGTTAGAACTACATTAGAATGCCAGCAACAGCACAACACAAACACTCCATTCACAAAGGGTCTGACAAAAACACAGAGGGAGTTCCATCTTAAAGCCAGATTTTCTCTCCACCAAGATGTTTTAGGAGAAACAGACACTGAGGGAGAACACTGAAATATTCATGATGCATTATTATAATGAGATCAAATCTGCTGACTCTGACTCTGTCTGGCACCAGTTTAAAGTACAGAGGTTGTGGTTGTAACAGTAAGAGTTAATGGATTGAATTTATGTGATGAATATGAAAGAGGTGAGGTTACGACTGTGAGTTTTGGTGCAGACCCACAGGAATTATTTATACAATGAGCATCTGTACTGAAGACAATAAAAAATAAAGCAATTATAGTTCAGTTAGTTTTGTGAATTAGTATTTCAGAGTAATATCAGCTTTAACAAATCACCTTCTAAAGATAAAATATTGATTATAGCACCAGTGTGAATCTCACAAAACCTGTCAAGAACATGCCAGATTGTATTTCAGCCCAAAATCGACAATTTTATAGAATTAGCATTACATATTTCGTAAATATAATATTAAGTCTGTTTTAAGATGATAAAGATTTTTTTTGCATTGTGACATTTTCATAACTAATGTTTCATACTTCAAAATTTATTTAAAACTAATTATTTGTAATGAAGCATAATTTCTACATAATCCTCATTAACATAATGCAAGAAAAAAAATAAATTGGTATAATGTAAAGAAAGGATAGATTCAGATAGTTCAGTCTTTATTCATCATGCCAGTTTGCTGTATTTTAATTTATGCTGATTTAAATACAAAAGTCATTGTTATTACAGTAAAGAGAATCTAATGAGAATCACAAATGTGAGTAACGAGAATTACAAAAAAAACTCATTACGATAATGAGGATTTGGGGGATGTGCTAAATTGCACACTATAAATAATGTAAAAATGCTAAAGAAAGAAATCTTTAGGATCCTAAAAAGGCTTCATTTTATTAATCTAAAATACAGTTTATTTTGAATTTCAGGTTGGAACGTGACCTTGTTCATATGACATGGCATAATATTAGTAAATGCATTAGGGCATTATGGCTTCAAATTCAAAACAATCACAAATTGCAAAAACTGCCACTACAGGACCAGTCAAATGAGAACAAGCAAATAGTGATGTTTATCAGTATTAAGACAACATGTAACATATGGAATCCTGACAGAAAGAGCGAGAGAGCGAGAGAGAGAGAGTGGCAGATGCCATGATCGATAGAGTGGTCAGGTCTTTCCCAATCCTTCAGCATAAATCATCAGCCATTATGATCATGCAGTCCATCAGCAGAAACATAAAACCCTTTGCAAATAGATCTGATGGGCATTAGTCATACCTCACACACTTCAGAAACACACACACACTGCATTTTTCCAGTGCTTTTCCGAACTCAAAGAGCTACATGACATCCTGGAAGCAGATACTCACTGGTTTAGTTCCACGTCTAAAATGAAGGTCTGTCCGAAGGCCTGCACCTGGAAGCTAGCCTGTGCCATGTGGTTCTGTAAAAGAGACAAAACAAGACAATACCTGGTCATTCTCATCTCTTACGATGCCACACATGATCTGAGACAATAAAAACTGTAAAATTAGAACATATTTGGTGTTTTGGGAGAGAGAAATATAATTAGATATTGTTTTTATGCCAAACTCCAGTCCTCAGTAGGATTATTCACATTCACCAATTTTTGTCAATCCGAGTGAATTCAATTTAATTTCAGATTCTGAAAGTTTTGTTTATATGAGCCCTAAACTTTGCAATCTGATTCACATTTTTGTTTACATGTGCATTTACTTCAAGTGTGTTTACATGCAATGTGTTTTTTTTCCTATTGATCGGATTGCTTCAGGTCAGCACCGCCCTTTCATTCTGATATAAATTTAATTCTCATTGAGGTGTTAACATGAAGGCTTTTCAATCTGATTGTGCATCAATTTGATTACTAATGGATTATTTGGGTGCATACAAAAGTAGCTAGCATCACATGATCCCTCAGAACTAATTCTAATATTCTGATTTTGGCTTAAGAAACATTTCTTATTATTAATGTTGAAAACCGCTGTGACGCGCAATAACCTCAGGATTCAGGATTCTTTGAAGTAGAAAATGTAAAATTGTACTACCACTTTTTTATGGTTTAATGCATTCTTGTTAATCAAAAGTATAATTTTATTTCGTAAAGAAAAAACTCAAGGTGCCACACATGAGCTGAGACAATAAAAACTGTAAAAATTAGAACATATTTGGTGTGTCGGGAGACAGAAGTAAAATTAGATGTGCTAATTGCTTTTTTTTTATTCATCACGGGTACACTTTGATGTGCAGGACTGGTGGCTGTGTGTGTGTGTGTGTGTGTGTGTTCGCTGATGGTTAATTCACTGCCTGCTTGGGGCCCATATGGCCAGGGCCGTATAACACCCCCTCAGGGGAAAGAGAAGCTTTTGGGTTGCAGCGCATTGTTCGCGTAGCTTGTTAGTGGATGTGTGTGTGTGTGTGTGAGGGGGGGCAGACAGGGCAGAAATAGAAGCATATGAGGGAGGTGAGGGGAGTCTAACACCCCCCAGGGAACACACCTCTCCCTAAACCAGCAAAGCCTAGTTATCAATAAAAATGGGAGGAGAACGAAGGGGTGGAAGAAATACGGAGGGGGAGATCCTCTACACTTCACCCACCAGTGACCCCCTGAATGAAGCTACCCTCCCCGAGACACACCCACATCCATCTACTGCCCCTCGAATTAGTGTGTATTTGAGTGTCATGTCTACACAAGATGCACAAAAACACACAAATCTAATAAAGAGATTCAGAGTGTTTTCTAGAAACTGTGTAAGATGAGAGGGCTGCAGCTTTCTGCCCATTACGTCTTTGGTATCATCGATTGCCGTTTCATCATATTAGCGTTTTAAACTGTTCAACTTGATTTTTTTCTGATCTACATTTTGTGTTAAATATAGAAGATCCAAAATTAGCAAGCTTCTCTTTGTTTGTTTTTTCAGGCATCAGTGAACATTTATAAATAAATATAGTCTTCAATCTTCAAAAAGTAATTGTAAGCCAAAACGTGGAGCTAAAAACAGACCTGAGTGTAGTTGAATGTATTTATGAAAAAATATATTTCACTGGCATATGCTTCTAATCCAATCTCTAATGTAGTATGATATATAACACCACAACGATTAAATCAATACTATGCATTGGCATGATGAAAAAGCCTTCGCCTCAATTATACAGAGCTCAGCTGCAGACGTCAGACAAAGGGTTAAGCCGCACACGTGCACACACAGCCCGAAGCACAAAACAGCGACGTTGGGACACATGTACAGACATTCTAACCGGTCAAAGAGACTCGTTACAGTAACGAGGCCACGAGCGATTGCATATTTGTGCCTTTGAGAATTATTCAGTCACGCAAAGTACGAGCAACAAAGTACCTGAGCAGTCAGGATGGACAAAATGCTTAGACAATTGAGCTTTCACTCACAAATCATTCTAATCAGCATATTAACATGATGTCTGAAGAATCATATAACACTGTGATAGAGTAATGGCTGCTTAAAATTCAACTTTGCAGTTGCAGGAATATACGTTATTTTATTCAAATAGAAAACAGTTGTTTTAAATTGAAATAATACTTCAAAATATTTTTACTGTATTTTTGTATTTTTCAACCTTGGTGAAAAACATTCTAAAAATCTTAATTATTCCATACTTTTTTACCAGTTATATACATCAATTTTACTTTCAAACATTAAATACAGATCATTTGTGAGTCAATGTGATATCAGCTCACTCAGAGTGTCTTTATTCACTATCTTTCAAGCCAGGCAAAGCAAGAACAAAAGAAATGGCATGTCATAGAAACCTCTAATAGCATTACACGCTCAACCGAGAAACCAAATACAAAGTACATTTAACAGTTTTTTCCTTTTATCATCATGGCCCAGGTTTTGAGTCTTCAATGTTTTGCTGGATAATGGAATTGGAGTTACATCATTAATCAGTCTCTGATATTTCTGTGGTATAAAATAATGTAAAAAACAATAATGCAATATTTATTTAGGCTGATAAATTTCCAACACATGAGCTGCTCATTTGTTCTTTCTGTGTCCTTTGTGTTTCCAAAGCTGAGATGCCTCAGGAGGCCTAAGCAGCACCAGCATCTTCCGGTAAAATGTGCTGTTTTGGTTCATTATATCACCCTTAAATGACTGGAATTAACTTCACAGCGCTCTCAGACAACCCAGTGCCTGACTATAAGACTCGGAAGGAGAGTAAAAGAGAAAAACATAAACATCTTTCCAAGAGCAGCGCGTCTCTAATGGCAACGGGAGGAGAGAGCATCCTTGTGACACCCAGATGACATCCAAACATGAGATGAAAAATACACACCTGTTTACTGTCAGATCTCAATCGAAGCCGTGTGTTGAGAACATCATGAGCGGCCTGACTGTCTCCATCCACTCGGTACACCAAGCGGACCGGTACCGTGTTCTCTCTCCCGAGGAACCTGGCGACATCACGCCGAGCCCTCGTCTTTACCAAGGCGTCTCCTATGAATAATAAAAACACGGGAGCATGTTTTTAACATATAACACCTATATATTTTTCTCTCGATTTACATGTATGAAATTGGACATAATATTCTGTTTAGATACGATAAATAATGATAAATCACGGCTCAGGGTCGGCTATTTACCGTTACATACATATTAGTTGTTTACATCACCTGAAATGAATGCAGTGGGCGTAAAATACGACACTAATATGGTAAAAAATACGCCATAATTGTTTAGTTTTTTATGAAATATATAAAAATACCCCCTCACCGTAATGAGGCAGGGAGAAGCTGGTATGTATCACAGAGCTCATCACCGCTACAAAGAGGCACAGAAAGGAACTCCCGACACGGAGAGGCATCATTCCCGCATCCATTCGGTTCAGAAAATCGCGGTTAATCATATATATCCCAAATTACACGAAACACGAGTTAAATCCCAAGTTAAACCCGATTTCCGTCTCCCTCAGGAAGGCGCACACATACTCTCGCGCGCAGCCTCTGCATCGAGACGCGGCTTGCGCAAGCGGCGGGCGCGTTCTGGAAAACTAAAATCAGGACCTTTTTTTCTTCGCCGAGCAGAAACCACCACCTCCTCCTCAGCAAGACATCAATCATATCCAGCCGCCTCACTGCAGAAACGCCTCATAAATATACATGAGCGAGCTGCACGCGGGATGATGGGTAGTGTAGTGTGCGTGTAGACCTGCTGTCACCTTCTGCGCCAGAACTGATGCATTATGGAGCATAAGAACAGTGAAACACAATGTATTAAATAGTACTAGTACTAAATAATAATGCATAATGTTACGCCCTTGTAGTATGAAATCATGCATATCATTAGTACACCAGGCAATATTATGCTTTATGCACTAATAATTTTATAATGCCCAGAATAACCAGAAAAAAGAAAACTATTAAACAAAAACATAAAATAATGTAACAAAATAAAAGTAACAAAATAAACAAAAAGCTGTGGAAGCCATTCAAAACAAATCCCAGGTTTACCCCGTAAATAAATACGTTGTGTAATAAACACATTTTTCATTAGCCCATTAGGCCACTTAAAGTAGAGCTTCAATTTGATTAAATAACACAGAATTGACATTTGTTTAACATATTTATGCTACATACAGAAGTGGTTAATTGGACTATACCATTCAAAAGTTTGTGGTTGATAAAAATGTAAGCTTTTGAAAGAGGTTTCTTATGCTCACCAAGGCTGCATTTACTTAAAAGTAATATTGTGTTTATATTTTAATATTTATAAATAGCTGTGAATTTGAAATGTAATTCATTGTTATGATAGCAAAGCTGAATGTTCAGCAGCCATTACTCCAGTCTTCACTTCAGTGTCACTACTGTTACAACCACCTGGCTCTGAGTGAAGGAACATTGCCAAAAGGGGAGGCCACACAGAAGACTAAGTTTAACAAATAAACATTTAATCAAGAATAAATCAAATAATACAAAAATTAAGTATAAAGAAAGAAAGAAACGAAAACAAAACAATCCAGGGCTGGAGAGGGAAGATGAACGGGGGCCCAGTCCAGAACACACACTGCTCTCTGAATCTCCGTCTTTTAAACCCAAACGCCAAACACAGGTAACACTCACACCTGTACTTGATGCTCGCTCTGAAAGAGAGGCAAAACCACGGAACACCATCACCTAGTGGAAAAATATTAAAAAGAGAACACACTGGCTGTAACTGTCACGAATTCGGTTCATGGACTTCCGTTTATTCACCACCAGATGTCACATTTTCCATTACATTGACTCTCGCACTACACAAACTGTTGCATAGCACCCCGGACTACATTTCCCATCATTCTTTGCACAATTTGCACACTGCCCTGATTGCACTCATTGCACACAGCTGTTTCTAATTACCTCATTCACTATATAACACCCACTCTAACCACATTTCTCTGCTGAGTATTGTTTAGCCTGTACCCCTTTCCGAGTCTCCGTGTTTTCCT